CCATTTCTGTTAGAGGCTGAGTGAGATCCCAGGATCATTATTATTATTATTCTCATGGGGTGCGACTGAGTCCACTGCGGCCTCCTGTACCATTTCCAGATGATAGATGATGATAATTGAGGAGCGGTCTGTGGAATGCGAATTGGCAGGGGAAACCGAAGTATTCGGAGAAAACCGGCCACAGTGTCACTTTGTCAACCACAAATCCCACTTGACGTGATACGGGCTCGAACTACTTGGTTTACTTGCCAGTTTTGCTAGCGAAACAGTTGCTGAGATATTTACTCAGATGAATTCCATTTGGCTGACTGCATCCTGCCTGGGACTCCTTTGCTACTTCGAGAACACCTGTGAAAAGCTGGCTTGGTTCCATGTGTCCCGTATCAAATCCGTGAGTTAGGACATAACTACAATCGCCAGACAGCAGTAACTTCCTCACCGCCGTCAGACGAACGTTCTCTGCATTAAAACAACAGCCCTTACATTGTGTTTAAATTATTCCGAAACACCTCAAACAGTAATATCCGAAAGGTGAAGGTTTCAAACCTATGTTTTACATTTTATGGCACCTTTTACTGCAGTATCTTAATGGATTTGGGCATTTTTCCAACCAATATTTTTAACCCATTTTAGGAACCGATGTCCCGCCAACATGTTTATGGTTTCTAAGCCCGAGATATTGTTCCTAGCGAGTTCCTTCCTCCCGCACAAAGAGCAACAAAGGTGACATGTATTACACTCTGCCTAAAACATTTGCGGGATGTTCCATAGCTTAAGTAGGCGACCTTCATCATCACCATCGGCTCGGCGGTTCTGTGTGGACTCTGGGATTCTTCACAGGCAGTCCTCTCTATTCATAACCACATTCCATGTTCCGGGGCACGCTGTAGCGTACTTGGTTGAGGCACTATGATACAAACCGGAGAGTCGTGGGTTCGATTCCCGATAGGATCACTAGATTATTTAATTAATCTAATTCTTCCAGCCGCACTATGGCCTGAGAGTTGACTCAGCCTCTAATAGAATTAAGGCGCTTAAGGCTGACAACCTTACTGCCATCTGAGCAGATTGTCTAGAAAATGTAGGAGCCACGTCTTACAACCCTATGGACATACACTGCCTGCTACAGGGATAACTTTACTATTTTAACCTTAAGTTCCACGATCCAGTTCTCAAGTCCTTTAGACATTTGCTATCACGTCTTAAGATGGCCCGGCAGCCTGTTCCTTCTTCAGCTTTCGTGACAATATTTTCCTCCCGTAGGATAGGGTTATGGGCCTCACGGCCAACTCCCAGCAATACTGAAAGGCTAAATGTTTTCTGTCAGGGCTGTCTCCCTTAGTTGGTTGGTCCCATTTTGAAAGCTTTAGGGACCCCGTCTTCGCCCTTGCATGATTTAGCCTCAAAAAAGGCATTGCCCAGGCGTCACGACGTGGACTTGCATGCGTCGGAGTAGGTATGCACAACTGGCATCACCGGAGATTTGAAAGCACAAATCCACCTACAATATGTTCACCCGCGGGGCCATGTACTATCCCAACCGTAAACTAACCATTTCTATTAAGCTGAGTCCTTGAGAAGCTAGCAGTTGCTCAGCAGGTCAAGAAACTCCCAACATTTTAAGGAAACAGAAGGTAATTACAGTGTTCACAAGAGACCGCCATTGGTCCCTCTCTTGGGTCAGATGAATTACCTCCCCAATCTTCCACCTAATTTTCTCAGACATTTAATATTATCTTACCATCTACTTTTACGTCAAACCAGTGGTCCATTTGCTTCAGGTTTTTCTATCAAAGCTGTGTACTCGTACTATGATATTGTGCTGCATTCTGGTGACGAGACATAGACACACTTCTACGTATCAAAAAGTTAAAACGACTGACGTCAAGCACCACACACAGTAGTGGGCTTCTTTCTTGAGCCTCAAGTTTCCCTGGGCGCAACTAATTAACCAATACAACATAGAGACGTATGGGGGGAGTGGATGTACAGATCCCCGTTTTATTGACCCCGGCACTAGATGGAGACGAGTGGTCAGTTTCACGCCCCGGCCACTTTACCCTCGTAGAAAGAGCCACAGATACCCGCTGGAGCCTGAGTGAGCGCCAGAGCCGGTCTCGACGACGTGAACATGGGAAAAATGTTGCTCCTACAGGGACTAGAAAAATCAACCCCTCGGCCGTTCAGCCCGTAGCAGTCACTATACCTACTGAGCTATCCCGGCTCACCTTGCTAGAGATGAGACTTGCAAATATCCAATTTTCACAGCTTTGTGATACAGGTAACTCTAATCTACAGAAGCCTATAAACAAATGTTGACTAGCAAGTTTCCTTGTTGATCTGTTAGTGGCATTCCCGGATATTACACGTACAATTCTGACTTTGTGCTACAAGTTTGTGCTGCAGAGCAAGTAATGTTGCGGGTTTGTTCAGTTAGGTTCCTCGTTTCGCGCTTCTAGAAATCAACGTTTGCAGATTGCACAATTCAGCACCCACCTTCACAAAATCAGTAACATATTCATATCTTTAAACAACGTTGATGCTGGTGACGATATAACAACCTTAAAATGTTCTGGACAGAGTTTATTGAAGTTAATCTTGAAAACATTCCACTATATGACGTCATGTAAAACGTAATATTTGAAGCGCAACTTCGGATTTGGTCTTGTTTTCTTTATTTACATTACAAGTCTTGAAGATGGAAAAGAATTCGGAAAAAAAAGAAGGAGCATTTTCTGACGTTCCCTTCCTGCAGACAGAGAGAGATAGAAGTGTGATATAAGGCTCCTTGCTTAGAGCGGTTGGCTATTAAAATGTGAAGTCTAGGCGCATGCGTCCCACTCCAAGGCCTGCAACAATCTCCTTTCCGCGTCTTCTTTTGCCTCCAGCAACTCACCTGTTCTCCCCAGATGGCAATAAAGCTGTGTTTGATCTATACGACATTTTGTGCGATAACAATATTTTCCGAATGTTTCAGGTCATGGGTGGCCCCAGGATTTATTTTAGGGGGAGGGAGGCACCCAGAAAACGTGTTTACGAAGTCACGTTTAAACTGTTCAGCTTCAAGCTTCAAGCTTGATGGACACTCGAGGGTATTCAGGACACATGGATGTATCCTTAAAATTAATAAACGAAATGATTAGTAAATAATGAAAAGTAAAGGTCTAGAAATTTCTGTGCAGAGACTGAGGAACGATAATCATCTGACAGGACAATCTATGTGCAGCCGAGTTTCACAACTTGAAATTAAAAGAATACAATTACGCGGTAGAAGCGCACTATTTCCACTAAGTTGCTCGATACTCACTCATTAATTAATCCTTTAGAGTGGTTAGCATATGTACCACCCGCTTTAACATATTAAAACTCCTGCTCTCTTCTCACAGAGTGTATTTGTGTGTTCCGTATGGTTCTCACAATAAACAGCGACTGTTTCCCTAAACAGCATTAACCGGTTGGGCTTTGTAGCGGAGATGTAATGTGTTTCCTGTGAGGCGCGGACTGAGGTTTCTGCCCACAGAGTGTATCTGTGTGTTCCGTATGGTTCTCACAATAAACAGCGGCTGTTTCCCTAAACAGCATTAACCGGTTGGGCTTTGTAGCGGAGACGTAATGTGTTTCCTGTGAGGCACGGACTGAGGTTTCTGCCCACAGAATGTATTTGTGTGTTCCGTACGGTTCTCACAACAGCGACTGTTTCCCTAAACAGCATTAACCGGTTGGGCTTTGTAGCGGAGACGTAATGTGTTTCCTGTGAGGCACGGACTGAATTCTTATATATTATTGTCACGTGACAAATAATTTCACGCCTTACTTGATATAGCAAATTTATTGAACAGTCGCTCTCACAGTCACACAATTTACAATCTCACAATTACTGTCATTGGCAGTATCACAAATGCTTCTCCTGTAGTCACTGCCATGCACTCGATACAACCCGGCTAGGCGACTGCTAGATTGAAACTGACAGGTTACTCTCTCTTTAGTAACTCACTACTCACTTACTCGTAACTGGCTCAATCCTCACTACTGAATAGTATTCGCTGCTCCTTATTTAGCCTCGGCACGGACAACACAGAAAACAGTTACGTGATAGTTACCGCTGTTGCGTGACGCCGTGTTTACAGGTTGCCTAGCAACACTGTAGAGAGTTGTTTACTGCTGTGTAGTAACCGCGGTAACCATTGTTACGTCATCGCGGGGAGGGGGTGTTTACCGAGCGTTGCGCACTGATGGAAGGAGTAGGGGTATGTGACGTCACTCGCGAGACTGCAGAGTTCACGTGACCCCTACTTCCCGTTGCGCCTTTCACGTCACATTATTTTGATGAATTTCATGCTTACTTATGTACCTCCACTATGCAGACCCTTTCTTCAAAATATGATAGCGATTCTGTTGGCCAGCAAATTCTTGAAGATACACTCACTCATAAAATCCCACAAACCGACCATATTCTGAATACAACCCGCCACTTCTCACCTTATTTCTATTAGATTCATTTGAACGCGATCCTCCAGTTTACCCCTAGAATTATCAGTTTCCTGTATTCAATTTTTGCGACATGTCTGTTATATACTATTAAACACTGCTAAAATTATCTCATGTTTACGCACTCCACCATGACGGTAAAGCTCTACGAACTGTATCTAAACTTCCACACTTGTTTCAGATAAGGGGTCAATGATGTGTTACCCATTGACGAAGAGTTCGCCGGTACCCCCTATATAAGAGGACTGGTTGATCCCGAGAGCCTCTGTGAAACTAGTGAACCTCCATGAATACTATCCACAGCAAATTGCAGTCTTAAGGGATGAGCCCCCGACAAATTTAAAACTTCTTGAATGTTTCCACAGTAAACTTCAACCCTGACTAATGTGCCCGCATCAAATATCAATGTTTACGTGTATTTCGTCAGTACATTTCAATGTGAACCATGTTTCGCTTGAGAAACGACAGATGAAAGCGAGAAGTGAACTGAGCTGCCCTCTATGTGTTTGCAGATGAACCAGCAGTGCAAGGTGTGTGGCGAGCCGGCGGCCGGCTTCCATTTCGGCGCCTTCACATGCGAGGGATGCAAGGTAAGACTGAGCGAAATGATTACCCCCGTGCCTTCCGTAAGGGTGGGTACGTATATATTATTATACGGGATGTGGAACTCCACCGTGACACGGCAACGCAATAGTGATACACAGAGCCATCTTGCGGATGAAATTGTCAACAGCAATAAGATCAAGTCAGTGTCTCACATGCTTTAAGGGTTCAGAATTTTTTCGGTTGGGGGTAAACAGAAAATGTGGGGCTACCCAGGATACAACGTTACGTTGAAAACCTTTTAAACTACTTTCACTGACTGCCCTAGATATTCAGGACAGTCGAGTGTGTTTTCAAAGAAGTCCTGGTTTTTATATTTTTATTGTTAGGCCATAACATTCGGTAATTTTTTTAATTTGTTTTTTTTTCCAAAACATCAAGGAGGAGGGGCATATGCTTGGCTTGCCGCCTTCTGCACTCTTCGATTCCTGTTTAATTCCAGATGAAAAGTAAACATAAAATATTAATGAAAGCCTCAAATTAATATTAATGTACGCAACTTATTGTTAGCAGGACTGTTACATCTATGATGATGAGGTGGGGGCACCAGTACCATGCATGGGGGGAAATAAGCGCAAGTTCTTTGTCGGAAAACTTACAATGCTGACATCACTTTGGAGGATAATATTAAAATAGTTCTAGCGGTGACTTAAATATACCATGAAACACTAGCGTAATTGGCTCACGTTGTGCAATGGGGCAACAGCAAAACATCTGAAGAGGGCTGGCGAATGTGACTGCATTGTTTTGCAAAACTGAACAAAACCCGCCATATTAGTATCAGGAAAGCTCAGTCATTACAGTGACTGGCTGTGGGTTCGAGCCCTGGGCTGGGACTGGAAACTTCCATTTCGTCACCATGCCTACATGCCCATAGCGCCGACCCAGTTTACTGTCGCATTTCCTACTGGGTTAAAGCGGCTGCAGTGTGAAGCTAACAGCCGCTCATATCTATTTAGTGTCAAGGTAAAAATGGTTACAGGTTTGCTTCCACTTCTTACTTTTCAGATTATTTAACGACGCCTATCAACTACATAAGTTGTGTAGTGTCGAACAAGGCAGCGATGAGTGAATAATGAATTGGGAAGGGTGTGGAAAGAAATATCTGTGGCCTCTTTCCCTGGAGGGACGGCTATACACCACGAATAGCTGGTTATCGGGCCAAGGTCTGAACACGGTGCTCTTAAACATAACGACGCCATGCTCGGCAGACGCCGTCGACCGAGCGTCACATTCGAGTTGCTATACTGCTTCGTGTCTCGAAGCGGATTTTCTTGATATTCCTGAGTTCCTCCAAGCAAAAGACGGAAAAGTGTTTCAAAATAGGCCACGACCTCTTCCTACACATTCTTTCCAATTTATCTTTCAGTGATCAACCTATCATTCGAAGCTGTATAATGTAAGCTAATTGAAAGGCAAAGTTGTCCCTGTGTTTAACTAAGCACTGCGCCATGAAGGTGTATGGGGGATAGGATGTATAGACCCGAGTTTTCTTGACCTCGGCACTGTCTGGAGACCCCAGAACCGGTCTGGACGGTGTGGAGAAAGAGAAAATTCTTGACCCTACCGGGACTCGAACTCCGACCCCTCGGTTGTCCAGGCCGTAGCCAGTCGCTTTACTGACTCATAACATAACTGAAAAGTATCTTTAAATAAGTATGTGTATACATATAAAATAAAGTTGTCCGTGCTTAATTAAGCACCAGTCACACTATTGACTTCGGCACTAGACAGAGGTGAGTGGTGGGCTTCACCCACTTGCCGCTTTGCTCCCGGGGAAGGAGCCTCCAATATGCATTGGACATGAGGCTAGGTGGGCCCCAGATCCGGTCTGGACGCTGTGAAGATGAGACAAATCTGTTGCCCCGCCGGGAATCGAACCCAGACTCTACAGGCGTCTAGGCACTGTGTTGACTCATTCAGCATAGCTCCCGGTTACTAAATAAACGGAGCAAGACGCCTCTTGGCCAAGATACTGCGATGGGCCGGATATGTGCGGCAACAATTGACACAGAACCTTAACAAGAGCGTTACATGCTCCACAGAGTCCGAATTCACGCAACAATGAGCTTGAAGCCGAGAACTGTTACGTAAGACGTGCCGGAGGTGTGGGGAGGGGGGGCGTTTTCTAGATAATGTATGTTAGTTACAACATCGACCACAAAAATCCACGAACCGGAGCGTAACGTTCGCACTTAAACAGGACAGAATCACAGCCACAGGTCTGATTTTCTTTTTATTCCAACACAAAATACAATGCAATTATGTAAATTTCTCTTTTCATTTTTCAATAAGTGTAACGATATGTCGCATTCTTTTGCAAGAGGGAAATCTTCCAGGATTCCGTTAATATGTCAGTTGTCTCTAAACCAGTATTACGGACGAAGAAAACATATTTGAAAATTTAAAATTTTGCTTTTACCTATAACTTAAGAACAAAACCAATATAATATTAAATTCGGATATCTAATGTTATTTGAATTTCAACGATTACATGGATACACGGGGGGGGGAGGGGACGCGGTAGCGTAGTTTGTTGAGTCACTATGCTACAGACCGGAAGGTCGCGGGTCCGATTTCCGATGAAGTCATTCGATTTTTCAATCGATTTATCCTTCCAGCAGCAATATGGCATTGGGGTCGACTCGGCCTCTAACAGAAATGGGTACCTAGAATCTTCCTGGGGGTGAAGGGCGGCTGGCGCGTAAGGTTGACAAACCTCACCCCCATTTGTGAGCCGACTGTCTAGAAAATTGTTTCATAACCCTGTGGGCTCCCATGGTCTGTTACACGGATACAGACATCAGTGGGTGGAAGTAATTCGGTGTAGATACGGGCTGGAAGGAAGGGGTTTGATTCACGGTACGGTCAAGAAATTTGTCTCTACTCCACAGCGTCCAGACCGGTTCTGAGGCCCACCCAACCTCCTATCCGATGGATACTGTGGGGCTTTTCCCCGGGATTAAAGCGGCCGGGACATGAAACTCCCCACTCACCTTCGTCTAGTGCCACGGTCAAGAATGATGGAGTTAAACCTTCACTCCCCCATTGGTTGTAGGGACGGGAGGCGGTTAAACTGGCTCAGAATCGTGTCCAATGGCGGTGTTGAGATCTGTTTCCCGCTACTACAATTCTATTGATCTGCCGTTATTACGATTTGTGATTTCCAGTACTTTTGACGTAGTTATGAAGGATTAAGATTGTTCTAGCAATGAAGCAAGCGGTATCCTTACTAATACGCAAGAAAACGTGTATTTCCTCAGCAGAGGAAATGGTAGCGGGCCATCTCCTTGACTCAGTGTTTCAGGGTTAACTTGGCATTTAGTTCACTGGGTCGGAAGTGTTACGTACAACAATACTTCACTTTTATTTACATGTTTGTTCCGGTTAGACCACGTGACGTACTTTGTAATCCCAGCAGAAGGCTGTGTTGGGATTTCAGTTAGCACTTTCCCTTGGCATGTGCTGAGCTCTGTCGGCCAAGTGTGTAATATCAGACAATTAACTGTGCTCATCAGACGAGAAAACAGTGCATTGTTAAAACGCTGAAGCAGAGACGTATGCACTTTACACATCGCGATATTAATGATAATATTCGCAAGCCATTAGATATCTTAAGAGTTTCAAGCACTTCTTTTCATGTTATGTAAATTAACAAGCGAAAATTTCTCTCGTGTAAATGTATTACTCTAATGTAGGTTGCATGGAAGAGGAAGCTGATACAGTTATTGAAAATGAAAGAGAAATTTAGGGAATATTACTTTGTTTGAGGTGTTGTGTTTCAATTGTTTCCGTGAGCACAAACAAGAAAGTATATTCGTACCGTATTTCGTCATTATCACGTCATGAGTAGGGATATAAAATCATAGTACATTGGTACTACTGAATTTGTCAAAAAGCCTGACAAATTCAACGTGGGATTTATATGGAAATTAATGGATGTAATCAGATCCAGAAGGAAACCAGTACATTTGGCAACAAAGTGCAGTTTAGTAATTAATCAAAAGTCTATTTATTATGCATTGGACAGTAATTATTACATAACACACGTTTCGACCATTATAAGGTAATCCTTCGATGGTAAAATACCGGTAACGGGGATGAAAGGGCACGCGGTAGCGTAATTAATTGAGGCACTACGCTACAAGCCGGAAGGTCGCGGATTCGAGTCCCGATGAGGTAGATGTTTTTTTCACTTGACCCAATCCTTCCAGCCGCACTATGGCTCTGAGGTCGACTCAACCTCTAACAGAAATGAGTACCAGGAATCTTCCTGTGGGAGTAAAGGGCGGCCTGCGCGTAAGGCTGACGACCTCACCGCCATCTGTGAGCCGATTGTCTAGAAAATGTGGGATCCTCGACGTCTCACAACCCTATGGGCCCTCACGATCCGTTACAGGGATAGATTTAACTTTTTATTTTTACATGGATGGGTGTAACGTCAATCGTAATAAAATAAATGTTAACTGCAATTGTATTTCTAATCTCTCGTTTAATAGAATTTTAATTGTATCAGAATGTCCCTCTTTTATTTCTAATGATTATGCAACCGGGGGTTGGATAGGATACACAACATATGTAACCACCTGAGGACGATCACAGAATGGCCGAAACATTGTTATGAACTAACAACTTAGTGTCCACTGTATGACGACCTTATAATTACTATATAAATAACTACATAACGAAACAGTATCACTGGAGTTTTGCCAACTGAACCAGCGCAAAAGGCACTGCAGTAGAGGGTTGGATAAACTGTTGTGCCATACAAGTCCTAGTTAGATTCAATAAGGCCGTGTAATAGCTCAAGCGGTTAGTCGCTGTTTTCCCACCGCGGCGGCCCGGGTTCGATCCTGGGTCTGGTGAAGTGGGATTTGTGGAGGCGCTAGGGCGCGTTTTCTCCGAGTACTTCCGGTTTCTCCCTGCCAATCTTTATTCCACCAAATTCTCCATCATCATAATCACCCGGGGCAGTACAATAGGCCAATCAGTGTCCGCCGTGCCGAGTGGACCCAGCTGGACTCCACTAGTTTCAATTACCAGAATATTACAAGAGCCGTGAAGTCGGGCGGAAGTTTAGTGACATTTCGGACGAATATACTGCTTCCACCTTCATGACTAAAAATAATACAAGCAACTACCCTTCTTGCTCACCTTGCTCTTCGACCTGAAGATGGAGGCAGTACATTCCTCCGAAATATCTGTGAACTTATACTACAGNTAACACCACATACACTGTGCCAAATCCCAGAAGACTGCTTTATTCATAGTGACCGCCGTGAAAGCCTCAAATCTTAGACTACAGTAATCGGCATTACAACGCAACTCTTCATATTGACCGCCATGAGAACGTTTAAAAAGATGAGTATAAATTGATTAATATTTAAAGAGGCCTATATTCCAGCAAGTTACACCACCAAGTTCGGCAGACGTTTGCCGACGTTTCTAAGGAACTCACTCTTTCATCTTCAGCTGTTTATTTCTTGTTCCTCTGACACTTTTTAGTTTATTTATCAAACACGAAGTTGGAGGAGCAGGTTCCTCCGAAACGTTCGCTGGCTAACTGGACTTAACAGCGTCACATCTTTATAATAGTCTTCATAGTCACCGCTATCACAACCTCATATCCATTTAGTTTAATGAAGTATCAGGGGAAAGATTTTTCGTTATAAAACATAATGCATACTACAATAGTTATACGTATTTGGTCAACTTAAATAACTCTTTCTTTAATTTTGTATTGCAGTCATTCTTCGGACGGTCACACAACAATCTGCACTCCATCTCGGAGTGCAAGAACAACGGAGAGTGCGTCATCAACAAGAAGAATAGGACATCGTGTAAGGCGTGCCGGCTCAGGAAGTGTATGATGGTGGGCATGTCCAAAAGCAGTTCCCGGTATGGACGACGTTCCAACTGGTTCAAGATCCACTGCCTCCTGCAGGATCAGCACCAGCAACAAGCAGCGTCACAGCACTACAGGCAGCAGAAGACGCCGCCCCCTGTCACACTTCCAGGCGCTCTGAACATTTTGGGGCAGCCTGCACAACACATGGACCCACGTCTGCAACATCAGCTAGCCATAGCAATGTCACATCATCAGAGCCTGCAAGGTCGGACGAAGGAGGACCTTCTGCTGATGAGACTGGACTCCATGTCTCCGTCCATCTCACCAGAGTCTCACAATTCCGACACATCTGTGGAGGTGAGCGAGAGCCGGCTTGTGGCTGGAGGGGGAATCTTCTTAAATAACAACACTAAGTGCTCCCCAGACCAGCGGCCGGGCTCCAACGGTAAAGACGCGTTCATGCCTTTCCCTTTCGCATCCCTGGCACCTCTCGGACCTGGTTTCCAGCACCCCGCAGCTTTCTTCCCCCCCTCCACAGCGACTTCCCAAAATAACGCTATCCTCTTCCCCCCGAGCAGCTTCTTGTACCGCCAGCCGCCACCCAAACCCCACCACAGTGTCTTCAAAAACAACAACAACCATTATACCCACAACAACAACAACGGAGATGTGTGCAGTAAGAGAATCTTTCTGGACGCCATCCTGCGGTCCCAGCAGTCCCAGCAGTCCCCGAAAGGGGGAAGCAACAGTCGGGAAGAGGACGAGGAGGATGAAGAAGATGATGACGATGAGGAAATGTCAGTTGAAGGCTCGTCGCTGCGTAAGCGTCGCCTGTCCTATACGGCGAGTAGGCGAGAGAGGCGTAGGGTATCTGTGTCGCCCCAGCAGGATGATCCAGAGCAGGAGAACCCTATAGACTTATCCATGAAGGCTTGTCAAGACGACGAGAGATTGACGTCCCCTGAAGGGAGTGTCGGTGACGAAGTGTCAGACCAAGAAGAGGAAGAAAGGGGCGAGATCACCGAGGAGAACGGAGAACACGATGATGAGTACGAGAGTATGGCTAATGACCACAAGGAGCGCCACAGTCGAAGTGTGGCTGCGCCCATAGATCTCACAACTCGAGCATAGACCAGTAAATCAGTCAGATGTTATTTCATCAAACTTAGGAAGCATGAGGAGCTGTATAAACTTGTTTGAGTGGAGGACAAATTCTAAATTTGTAATTGTATTAGGTACGTTATTAGGCAAACACTGGAGACTCGTTTCTTCCGGGGGAAAAGTATATTCTCCATCATGGGTGACAGGTATCGGAAGTTGTGTGAAATCACCCATTTTCTGTATATCTTCACGCAAATTGAGGCGCTGCATAATATAGATTATGCAGGTTGCTATTCTGCCGCTATGTAGGAACCGTTATTAGTTACAAATAGACCAAACGTGAGCAATGAACCACAGTGGGAGGTACCTACGCTTCGGACGGTATTGCAGTCACGACCTTTGCCGAGAAAAGTTACCTCTATCTAGCAGCACTGTTTACTTTATCGAACATTATTTCCAGAACCCATTAAAGCTAATGGAATTGTCTGTCCCTCAAGAGAACATAACGTTTTAAGAATGGATGTAAAGAAGGTTTATCTGCGGACACCTCTAAATAGAAGTGGGAATTGTCAAATTTTCCCGTTGAAATATCAGTAGTAGTAGTAGTAGTAGTAGTAGTAGTAGTAGTAGTAGTAGTAGTAGTAGTAGTGTTACCATATTCTTGTTAAAGACGTGTAAAATTCACGAGAATTACGTAACTTCGTATCAACTACCGCCACATTCACTGCTTAATAATCACGGCGCCATGGCTCCTTGAATTTCACTATCACTAATACCAACAAAATGAAAAACAGTGACCAAGCCAGTCTAATTGGGCTCTCTGATCTAGCTGATATTGTGTCTGTGGCGTTGGTATTACTTAATTTCTCCCTAACTGTAGATGAAAATAAAAGCCGAATGAATCCTGGACATTTGTGATTTTGAGCAAGTTTTAATCAGTTTCGAAAGTCACAGAGAAGTAGAGAAATTTCATACAAATGACAAAGTTGTCCTGTTACTAATTAACTACGCACTATGCTATGAAAACATGGGTGAGGGGGGTAAAGCTCCAACATTCTTGACTTCGGCACTAGATGCAGGTGAGTGGCCAGTTTCACGTCCCGGTCGCTTTACCCACGTGGAAAGAGCTGCAGGTACCAATTGGGTAGGACGCACTGCCGGGAATCGAACCCTCACCGTCCAGCCCGTAGCCATACCGACTCCTAGTATAAATTATAGAACAAAAAAGGAATAAAGTTGTCCTTATACTTAACAAAATTAAGCACTACGCCATGAAGGCTTATGGGGGAGTGGATGTATAGATCCACTTTTTTTTTACCTCGGCACTAGTTGGAGGTGAGTGGTCAGATTCACACCCCGGCCGCTTTACCCCAGGTACCCATCGACTAGGACCCCAGAGCTGGACCGAATGATGTGGAGAAAAGAAAATTCTTGACCGTAGCGGGACTCAAACTCCGACCACTCGATCGTCCAGCCCGTGGCCAGTCGCTGTACCGACTGAGCTATCCCTGCTTAAATATTATTGTTAATTTAAGGGAACACAAGCACAATAATAAGAATCTTAAGATTACATTTATTTAAATAACAGCGGCATTTGAAAGCAAAATATTGGAGCAGCATCGAAGACATTTGTTTTTAGTTTAAATAAAGTGGCGTCATTTTGCCAAAGGAGTTTGCCTTCCATTTTACGACAGATGTTTCATACTAATCCGACTGCTGGCCATGACGCGCGACAATTGAAGAACTACACACGGTTCTTAATAACTTAGGTACACAAACATGGCCGACTTCACATGCATAGATGCACATCTTGAGAGCAAGCTCTTTTTAAATACGCCGACAGGGCGCATTATATTACTTGGGATTTTAAAGAAACAAGATAAATTCATTGAAAGGATTAAAGAGGCTGTTATAATAACGGCACGATCCGCATGAAAACAGTTCGCTGTTGACTGTTCACATGAACATACTTGTATTTGTTTCTGAGTCATGATCTCGGGAAATGATCAAGTTATCTTGTATGTAGAGCTTTCAAAGCACTCAACAGATGAATTGTGAGGTCTAAGAAACGTATCGATTCTTAGAGGAAACACAAAATGTGGGTCGCCTTTTATGTTGAAACACAAGCCGTCTACCGTGTTTCTCAGAGCTGTTCAAATCTCGCAGAAGGCAAAACAAACACGACGTGACCTTACTGAATGAGAGATAAAACGGAGCGTCTGTTTATTACGAAAGCTTTATAGGCATATCAATGGAATACTGACAAGGTACAGGGTCATCTTAAGGATGAAATACGCAACGCTTCGTGAATTAGTCCGTCCATATTAGCGCAGGTCTTGTCTAATCAAAAAGGTTTATAGCCTTTACGTTATTAACCAACATCGCGTCAGTGGCGGCTCTGCAGGAAAAACAAATTAACAGTCATTAACGGCTTAATTCTACGAAGAATTGGCGTGGATTAATCAATCGGGTTGGACAATCGTAGAATCGGAGTTCGATTACTGGCGGGGGCGAGAAATTTTTTTGTCAACGCTAAGTTAGACCAGCTGATGTGACAACCTAGTGACGTCGGGGATTTTTTCTCGACGGAAGGCGTCCGGGGCTGGTAACTAACCTCCGCCTAATGACGATATTAAGAATGCTTGGGGCTGTACCTTCACCCCTACACGCCTTCTTGGCCTACAGCATCGATTTTTTTTCTTATGAATATAAACGGGGAGTTTCATCTGTATGCCTCGTTTTTTCATATCTGATGCATTATGGACTAATGTTATCTCATTGCTTTCAAAATTGGGGCTCGACATCACGCGTCTACACTGAATATGAAGGCATAATTTTCGTTCGAAACATCCGTAACCACCCAAAGTATACACGGATTCAAGTGAAAGAAAACCGAGTTCTGGAACTTTATAGTTTTGCAAATCAAAAGAATGCTTAGTGTGGACTGACCCGGCAATACGGGTTAACCGAGCCAGCAAGTGGCGGCACCTATTACAGCTTCCCCCCCCCCCCAAATTTTCATTTTTATTATTGAAAATTTCTGCTTTTTTTTTTCACATCGCGACCGCTAATTCGCAGTAATCTAAACATGACACGCAGCAGCACAAGTAAACTTATTATAATGATTAAGACCCCATGACAGTTTTCGTCGCCGTGTCTGAAAATTTCATTTTTTTTTAAGTTTGAGCAAGTTTAGAACAAAAACACGATTAAGTCTTCCGGGATGTATGTAGTTCGGCGAAATCCCTCTGTTTCGTAGAAACACATCGCCTCCATCTTCAAGGTTGCAGATTAAGATATGCTCAGTTTGCCGCTTGCTTGTGCTGGTTTCTTGTTTGGCTTGATTTTCGGCACTGAAGATGGAGGCGGATTGTTACCCCAAAACGTCAGACACGGAGCCATACGGTGTTGTAATTCGTAGTTACTGCCGTGAAAGTCTCAAACCCAACTTACTTTCTAAGTATTTTAAATAGGGAAGACAAAGAACTGAGGCAGTGTTTAGGCTTGGGCCGGTCATGTGCGCATGCTCCTCAGACCATGATAAATCAGTCGATAGATCAAACTCGCATTTGAAAGAGAGACTTCGATACCTGATGCGGCGGTGATCCGGCTGTCCTGCATGGGCGCACACACTCTCTGCCAGGCGCGTGTCCCTTGCTCCCTACCGAATATGCTCAGTCATGCACCAAGATATCACGAAAGCGAGAAATCTTCCCAGTTGATGTCTCTCCACAGCCACGGAGTCGCAATAGCGACGGACCACAGGCTGGACCGCCAGGGATTCCATTCCCGGAAGGGCCAAGCTTTTTCTCTTCAGGTCGTCCCAACCGGATCTGAGGTCCACCCAGCGCTCTATGCAATGGGTACCGGAGGCAATTTCCTTGGGAGTAAAGCGGCCGGGTCGTGAAGTCGAGGTCAAGGATGTTGGAGCAACATCTTCACTTCGCCAAAGTTTTCAATGGCATATTACTTAATTAATCAACCACAGGGACAACTTTATATTTATAATAACAGAGTCCCTCTCTATCAGTTTGTAAAGTTGTCCCTGGGTTTAATTAATTCAAGCGTAAACTCAGGAATGGCACATAACTAACGATTTTGAGAAGTTGATAAGTGCTAAGCCACTCAACAAATCCACAACATTTTATGGAAACCGGGTGTTCATAACCATATTCACAAGAGACCGTGACTGGAGCATATCCTAAACCAGAAGAATCGAGCCCACTCCAATACTATTTCCTTGAGATCTGTTTTAATATTATCATACATCTTCCTCATAGCCTCAGGTTTTCCTACCAAAGTTCCAGGCGTGCGATATCCCACGGTAGAAATACCATACAGGAGAGTGTTGGCCAGCTGACCACGTCAACACTTCGCGTGTTACGACAGATAAAGCTTGTTTACAACTGCCTACAATGAATGAAAACTTGCCCCGACATATCTGAGCAGCTAACTCTATGTTACATTTTATGTCACCATAGCGATATGGACATAGCAATGAAAATGACTACGTTTCATGACGGATTGTGCACATACACACGATTCCATAAAATTATTTGTATACCTGTCGTGTGGAATTCTTCCGCGTTTACCCGGATTGCGCAAATGGTGATTTCATTTGTGGTGTGGGCTGTGCCGTTGAACGCGTTTTCGTGTTCACTGGTCAAACTTTGGTAACTTTATAAAGATTCTACCTGTTTCTCTGAGATATGAATATACTGCACTCACAATGACATTTCTGACTAATGTAAATCGTCATTCTGCTATAAAAAGGTTATATTTCAATGGTAATACTCGTAATATCGTAGAAAAAATTATAAACATTAGCACTTACAACTGTGGGAGAAACGACTGTACCCTTAACACGCAACAACCAAGTTATTTCGAAGTTGGCCATGACAAATATATTGCAGCTGCTCATGCTCCCAGGTACGAAACAACAATTCACATTTATTTTAAAGGCTTTTATATAATCCATTTACAGGAGGAAGTAATTACATTTGAGCGACAACCAATACAAAATAAACAAACAAAACTCTATAACATTACTATTGTCACGTTTTATGTAATTATGATCGATCAAAGTATCAAGGTAGTTACAAAGAGACGGAATTAAAATAAATGTGTAATTGTTTCGAAAAAAAAAGTTCATCCGTGTGGGAGTAGCTCGGTTCGGATCAAGCAATCCAATGTGCAATGTGTTAATGTTAGTGCAGAAATATGAAAGACTCGCCACTGTTAACGCTATATTACAGATAAGTGATTATTGAGTTTCGAGGATCGAATTGAAGAAGACTGAAAGAAGACGTTTAAAGGGAATCCTGACATTTCAGTGTGTTGAATGTTACCAGTCAATATGTCACGACATAATGTCCTATAGCTACATTGTATTTCGTTCTAATAGGTAAGTTGTGTTGTGAACATGTATCTTGTTTTTGTATATTCTTCAGGTAGAAGATATTACGAACTGATTATTTATTGTTTTGTTTCAAATTAATTTTGAATTATTACATAATTTAAATGTGCATGGAACATATTCAAAACAGCAGTAACTTGACGTACTCGAGAGCGAGTTAAGAACGAATTCAGCATTTATAATGCAACAACAGATTTGCATTTCTAAAAAGCGGCCAGTATTTGTATTGAGACTACATTTTCTTCGTGTTGAATTGAAACTTAGAATCGCTGTATGTACTTATTTATTCATTTTTGTTACATTTATGGCATTTACGTACCTTTTGCTTAGTTTTATTCCGACTTCAGTCATCATCAACCAGCATTTAACATACTATTAGTGACTTAGACACTTAACGACGCCACACTGGGCAATATTCTTTCTGAAGCCTGTGTTTACGGATGTGAGTGCTTGGGAAAATTCGATACAAACAGAATATTTCCAAAATACACTAATTTCATTACTATTCGGCCATTTCTGAATATCTATTGGGAATTTAAGCTATTACAATAGTTATTGATTAATAATCGGTTGGAAATAAAAATGAAATACACATTCGGTACCGACTCGTATAAATTTCGATGTCTATACATCAGAACGGAACGATGCATAGCAGTTATGAAAAATGTTACGTGAACTGCTTAAAACTGGTCGTGATAATGTCTACAATATTAGAGAGTTTTTTTTAATAAAATAGTAAATAATGTAACATAACAGATAATATTTTTATGATACCATTTTATGCTGATCTGTAGTTACCACAAACTGTTTGTACCAACTATTTATTCTCTGCATAAGAAAAAATATTTAAATATAGTTACGACGAGAAGCAAT